AGCGTCCGCGCTCGGCGTGGGCATCGCGCTGGCTCTGCAGCCCGGAGTCGACGGCACCGCCGCCGGCACAGCCATCGGCAACGCCTCTGTCCCGAGCGACGTCTCGCCAGACGAGGTCCCCAGCAAGGAGGTGCTGGATTCCTTCTTGGATCTTGTGAGGTCAGAACCGGGCCTCCGCCGGGGGAGGGGAGGGGGAAGAGGGGACTTCAGCCACGTCGGGAGGGAATGGTGATCGGGATGGCTGGAGTCGGGTCGTGGCCGGAGCGGGGGTGGAGACCTCCAGGGCCTCGGGAAACTGTAGGGGAGGGTGGGGGGAGCTCTGGTCTTTCAAGGGGGAGGAGAGATTCCCCGGGAAGGAGGCTTCTAAATGTGGGGGACTGGAGACATAAGGAGGGACCCCACCTGAGGGTGCTTACAGAGAAAAGGGAAAGTAATGCTTGGGGGACATAGAGGGGCTCTCCTATCAGGGGAGGGGGTCCCGAGGATTCCCAAGGGGAGTTTTGGTGGCCAAGGGCCCCCGGAGGGGCTTCTGGATGAAGGTTTGAGTCCAGGGTCCGGATAGATCCCATGATCCCCACCAGGCCTCTTCCTAGTCCCAGGGCTTCCCATGCCACGTGACCCCCAGACCCCCAGGCTCTTTTCTCAGCCTCCCTTCCCACCCCGTTCAGCTGGGCCCTGGTGGCTTCCCCGACGTACACTGAGTGGCCAGATGATGATGACCACCCCATCAGCACAATGAAGTCAATTAGTTACGCAAATAATAATAATAAAACCTTGAGAGTATTTGCTTAGGAAGTTTTCAATATTCAGTATTTTTGGAAGTGTCCGTGAAGTACCGATGGGGTGGTCATAATCATCTGGCCACTCGGGGTCTGTTCCTGGCAAGTCCTGCCACCTCCACCACTTTCCATTCCATCCCCTCCTCAGTGCCAGAAGGGGGGCCCCTCCCTCCCTTACTCCCAAGAACGGTTCTCCCTCCTTTTAAAGAGGACAGACTGCTGGATCCACATGGCCTCGCCTTGGGGGCCTGCTGACTCAGTGTCTCCGGGTTGGCGGGGGACTTCCTGGAAGTGGTGGAGGTAGATGATGAGTCACGGAACTGGGTTCCCCCAGCCTCTTGCGGCCTCTGTGCCACCTGAGATGGGAAACTCTTCCAGACGTTGAAGTGGGTGGCACCTCCTGTCTCGGGGAGATTAGCTGGGGCCTGGCCCGCCCTGGCTGGCCAGGGTGAGCACCTGCACACCCCCCCGAAGGCTGTTTATGCCAAAGGGCCTCCCCATGTGCCAGAACAGCTGTAATTCTGTATCTGTTTCAGCCAGCCACTCCCAGACTCGGCTGAAATATCTTGAGCGACACAGCTGGACGCAGACACGCAGACACGTGGCCAGGGCTGTGATGTCGCACACTGACAGCTGGGCTCGCCCCAACTGTCACACACGCACGTCCTATCACGACAGCGGCCGCGGGAACACAGATGCACATTCATGACGCACACAGCCGTCTCTTGTCTCCCTCTGTCCCCACCTCTTCCCAACGCCCAGAGCCGCCCGCCAGCCCCCAGGGCCAGCCTGCCCTTTTCTCGGAGGAAGTGGCTGATGCAAGATGTCCAGGGTATTAAGTTTGCCTCTTGGGGTGGAGCTGAGGCCAAAGGTGACCCTGCCCCAGCCTGCCCGGGGAAGCCAGCATTTCTGACCCGCCACGGAAATCCTTTGGAGCTAGGATGACAGCCTACTGGGGCCCTGGGAGACCAGCTCGAACTCCCACCCCCCCGTAAATGTGCAGGCCAGGTTCGGCTCTGCCTGACCGAACCTAGCTGAGGCACAGGGGGTGGGGGGCACACATTTGGGTGCAATGGGCGGGCCTGCAAGGTTCTGCCCACCTCAGGAGGCCAACCCAGCCCCTCAGATACTCCCCACTTCCCCCCTGTGGTAGCTAATAACCGCCCCCATGTCTATCTTTACAGAAATCTCTTCCCTTCCAACCTGGTGTCCGCAACCTTCCGCACAGTGAGTCCTGGAGGGGGCG